CAAAATAGGTATAGTAAAACAAAAAAGGGGTCATTCGAGCATATTACATTTTTAAAAGGCTCTGGTTACCTTAACATGGACTATATAACTCCTTACAATTTTTTTTCCTAATAAAACTACAGCAACCTCCAACGGTAGAAAAGCAACCAACGGCTTTAAGCTGAACTTATGAAAGACTCCAATAGGAAGATGAAAAATTTCCTCCTATGAACTACAAATGCCCTTTTTCTTTTCCCAGGGAGACATCTGTTTAAAGCCAGACTGCAACCTTTGCTAAATAAACAGTTGTTTCATTTACTACCATGTATCCACTTGGCTAATGGAGTTAATGCTGCCCTACTGAATCTTCTGACATATTCTTTATTTTAGAAATTGTATCGTATTTCCTAGTAAAAGTCAAGAACAATATTAACAAAACAGTAATCTATATTGGCTTTTAGTGACTTACAAGATGTACTGACTTGATGCAGAGAGATGCCACATGATAGAGAAAAATCCCATTAAAATACTTCTATTTTGAGGTATTCTTTAAGCCACCTCTTGGCATTTGCACCTCAACTCATTCACAGCTGTATGTTCAATCGGAGGAATAGAGCGTTAATAAGAAGACAGATGACAATACCGACCATGCTGGCAAAGTCACATAAGGACTATGCAACTGATACGTGACAGTCATTGGCAAAGGTTCAAGCAGCTCCCACAGTCTACAGCTCAAAGAAATAAAGAATGAAGTAGAACTTCATTAATCAAAAATGAAAAGGGAAAAGCATTGTGCAGAATAAAACCACTAAAACCAGCAGAAAAAAAAAAAACCCAAACAATCTTTCCCATTTATTTTCTACTTTACAGGAATGCAGAAAAATGCAGCATAGTAAGTTCACCTCTCCTTTCCTATCACTACCATGTAGCATCAAGACAGTAAAAAATGCAGTCTGGGGGAAGATAAACCAACACAAAAACCCAACATACTAGAACCACATCAGATCCAAACATAAATCAAAATTGTTTTCCTCAACCCAAAAACATCTACCAGAGCCTCACGAATTCTATTAATTAACATAATATCTAAATTAACTAGCACTAACCTAGAAATCTGGGAAAGATCCGAGTTTGTAACTGTAGCCACCTATACTATTAGATTCTCATCGAGAAAGCCAAAGAACAGCATGTGATCTTCCACAAGTCACCAATGTTTTTCCCCCATGCTAGGAATCTGTCACTGTTCTACCAATTTGATACCTGACAATTTCGATTGTATTCCTATTCCTGGCCTCCATCCATACCACGCTCCATCCAACACGTAGGAAAGTAGTCACCAAATTCACTCTGGAATTGTATTTAGGAGGACGGACACAGGGTTCTTCTTGTCCTTCACAAAATGGTTATCTGAGCATCTTCAGCAGCTGAAGGAAACAGAGGAAGTTTCCTTCATAGTTCTCACAGCTTCTCCCAAGATGGTTAAGGACTTTAACATAAGGAGTTACTAACAGCAAACTCCTAAATAAACACAGATTTAAACTCTCAAGATGATTACTCCACTATCATTGTGAACTCAGCATCTGGAAGCATGGTCTTGTATGTGGGCTTTCACAAGCACGTGAACCGCAGCAGATACACTACTCTAAACCAAATTTTAAGAGCTCCATTTTCTTTGCACATCAGGTAAACTTTTGATAAGGGTTAAGAATTAAATTGAAAAGAAAAAAGCAACAACAACAGAAAAGTTAAAATATTCAAACAATTTGAGCAAGACCTAGATAACAATTGGTTGCTTGAGACATTAGAACTACTGCGTTTTAAGCCTGCAGTGAGAACAACTGCTATATAACTGGTGGCCAGTACTGCAATCAAACATGTCCAACAACAGTGTAAGCCTACAGCCATAAGGTATTTAGAACCTCAATATTTCCAGCAAGCACATTAGCAGATGGGTAAGTTACACATGCAATGCACTCTTATCTTAATGAGACTTAGAGAAGAAAAATTTAACTTGCTTGCTCTCAGACACAGGAGGTAGAAGAAGTCTTGAACAAAAATAGCAGGGGTATAAATCTGACTTTCAAGGTCAAATGTTTGATTTGCTAGCAACGAAGTAAAACACAGTAACTAGAGAGGGAAGAAAAACAAAGTAGTACTAGCTGTCTATGGCAAGCGAATGAACTCTAGGTCTCCTCAAACACCCTGTGTCCTATTTAATGTTTGCCAAATGCAGAGCATGACACTCTCCTTTCTGAAATGGTGTCAGCTGAAAGACTGGCCTAGGCATCACATCAAACATTTATCTTTGCTACTCAAACTTTACCTTTCAGGGGAAGGTGCAGTCATGAAAAGAATCACAAAAACCTCTGGACTTGTGAAGACTAGACCATAGCGTGAACCTCAGACAGTTCAGTCTCACTCCAAGCATATTTGATTCTCATGTCCTCTAGCCTAATAATCTTCTATGAAGCAGTACTTTAAGGCTCCATAGCCAAATGATCTTCCAAACACTCAGTTCAGAAAGTTTATCCAGACTAACCTAGAGAGTGTCATTAATCTGAGATGCATAAGGACAGATTTCCAGCCTCCCTGAAAACTGAGATATGCATGTGGGACAAAGTTAAGGGGAAAACCAAGATAAGGACAAACAGTCAATTCAAACAAAATACAGAAGCTACAAGACATTGCCCTTCCTGTGGCACGAATAACAATTACAAAAGAGCAATTCTAAGAAGCTGTTTAATATGCAAATATAAGTCAATGAGTACTAGTTTTAAGTAGCATGAAATCTTAACAGGGATACTATTATTCACAGCTGTTTAATTCTGACTAATAAAGAAAAAGGTATATGTATTTTTATGTTTCAAAGTATGTAACTTTAGTCCCTTCTTACCCCAACCTGAAACATCACCTACTAGGAATGGCTGGGCCTGGAGCTGCCATTGTTTCTTTGGTTTCTTTCTGGGCTCTGTCTTTTCCTGGGTCTGCAGCAAGGTGAGATGGGATGGACAGCGGAAGCACAATAGCCACAGTTTTTCTCTCTCTCCTTCCTGTTCAACAAGGAAAGCTATCCCTCAGTTGGATAGACATCACACATCTTGACATCTTATTACACATATCAGTTCAGAGCAAGACAAAGTTTGCGGCACAGTGAATGCAAAGTACTAAATATGAAAGCAATAAGCATACATCTCTCTTGGACATTTCTGGGCCTCTCTTCTCAAATACATCGAGTTTTCTTCATGTTTCTTCAATGAAGAAGTTCAATCTTGTTGCAGTGGAAGGGTTTACAAAAGATCAAATTTTACTGTCTTACTCCTAACCAATCCAAGCTTGAGTTGCAATATATAAGCAGAACAAAGACCAGTGCTTTTAAAAGAGACCTGGGCACTCTGTTGGCTTACACTAGCTTGTCTCCCACCCCCCATATTAACAGGACTCCAAAAGACACAGAGCAGTTGAACTATTTGTCGTAACTAAGTTTACCACCTTATTGGTAGTATCATAACGCAACGTTTATGATTAACTCCATAGATACCCTGCACTGGAAGCTATCCACAGGGTTAACTGTTTTCACATCAGTTAGAAGCCAAAACAGTATTAGAAAAAAAACCCACCATAGTAGGTAATATTTAAAAGTTTTACTCCAGGACAAACTCTGGTCTTAGCTGTACCAACATCAATCCAGCATAACTCCAGTGTAGGTATGCCAATTCAGACATACTCAGATGTAATCAAAATATTTCCCTGAATTTTACTCAAACAGATTTCGTATCTCAAACCTATGCAACTTCCTCCCTACTACAGCAGACTAAAGAAACCATCACCCAGTACAGAAGGAGGCAGGCAACAACACAATTCAGTTCTGACTGACATTAATTAGTAGAAGGGTGCAACAACAGATCCACCCTGCACTCAGCACCCTAGAGATACTCCCACATCAGACCATGCACCCACAATAGATCCATTTCCAGATACAGGTTTTAGAGAAGATGCAGGGAGAGCAGAAAGCATTTGGGGTGTTGTAAACAAAGCAAGTTACTACCACTATCTTGGGGGTTAGTAAATTAGAAATCTGTGTTCAAGCTTTGCTGTTAGTGTCAGGCAGCAGGCTCTCTTTCAAACTGTGCAGGCAGAAGACAGGTGCTATGTTGGAAGGCAGCATGTTCCCCCTATCAACCTAAGAGGAAAGCCTAGTAAGCAAGATAAAATATAAAACCTTCACTTGCATTATTTCTTCTTTTCTGCAAGACAGTAGAAACCCCCATCTTTTAAGTGTTAAGGGGTTTTAAGTTATAAGAGTAATTCTTAGCCTTTCCCTTGCACTTCATATATCATTATACATACACTGTAAGCTGAATTTCATCAAGCATCATGCTCACTATGGTGTGCCTTGGCTACAGCTCGCATATTACACATAGCCAAATGGACAGTTACTGATTTCATGAAGTGCCCCCAACACAGAAGAATTTTTGATTTCTGGTTCAGTTTAATTGAAGGTCATGCTCAGGTTCGAAAGGAAATTAGATTGGGCAGGATTTGCCCTGGGGTTCAATAATGCTGGTCAGTCTCCACCCAAAAAAAAAAAGTTTCCAGCCCTATTTGTTTCGCCTTCCTGGAAGCATTCCTGATGTCTTTCCCCAAATAACTCAACTGTTTGTTTAGCTGAGAAACTCTCCTAGTAGCATGGAACAGTTTTTCTTCAGCTGGTGGGTGACATCATCTTAATGCCTTTCACATGAGAAAAGAAGCACAAACCGCATCACTAGCGCATGTAACATGTCCAGGTCATCTGCCTTGCCGGGTAATGGAAGGGGTCCCACATGTTAATCCTCGTGATGCACAAAGACCCTTAATACTTGGCACTACACTTAGGAAAGGACGTATTTATCCACTTTGGCTAGATAGTCGATTCCTGCAAAAGTCTGACTCTGTGACCTGCCTCCCAACATGGCTACCATGTCCAATTAAGTAGAAGCCTTGTCATGAGGTGGGAGATAGAGAAGAAGGCAATGTTGTACCTGAGCCTATTGTATGTCCAACGGAGTCAAAGGAAAGAACCACTGAATCTGTAACACAAGAGTACAAGTTCATTTTCCCCTTTTTCTTAGCACCATTTCTTGCTGTAACATTTTCTTGTTATTTTGCTTAAATAACTCATGCTCCCTTCCGCCAGGAAGCAGAACAACTTCTTCACCAGCCAGACAAAACAACAGGCATCTAGCAAAGGCAGAACACTGGAGTACGCAACAAATCACAATGTCATTACCCAATGAAGTAGCCTACAATTTATTGAAAATAATTTCATTTTATGCCTAATAAGCTTGGTTGACCTTACCAAAGCTGAATTATAATATGCTTTTGACTGCTACATTGGAGAGCTTTTTCTTATCAAATGCATTATCAATATTTTGTCCCCACTTAGGGGACTCACCTGTTAGGATCAGCTCTTCCCTGACACTGTTTGCTAAGCTAAGTATTTTGTGCTCCTTGCAGTTCTCACTATGTTTTCCACATCTTTACTCTCACTAGTGGCTCCCCAGCTGAATACATTTCAGTTTATCAATACCCTTCACCTTTGTACTATATGCAGCACATGTGCCAAATATCAAGAAAATATCACCTCTCTACTTGATACCCATTTATTTTGCCATCTGGGGATCACAATAGTATATGTATCATGATCACAATGACAACTCTTGCTCACCTGTTAATGCCTGATACTTTTAGTCACTGTTTCATATGATGAGGCACACTTTGGTTCAATTGTGGTTTACAGTTCCTAGTTTCTATAAATGCAACTTGACATTTGGCCACATAGAAACCCTTATTGCCTGCTTGCGCTTAACTCACCCCATGATCCAGACCCCTTTATTAGTCATTAATTTTCCTCATATACCACTCTCCCAGCCTAGAACCTGTTTGCAAAATTTATCAGTAATAATTCAATATCGTGTTCCAAGTGGAGCTGCAATATGGTACCATGGTCAATTGTAGGGTTTTTTTTCCAGCTTTACTCTTATTTGAGACAAACTAAGATTTACTTTGGTAGTAAGCCTCCTGGTTTGCCATCCATTTTGCTGCCAATCCCACCTGAAGGAGAAAGTCTACTGAATTCTACTCCACCACCAGTGGAGCAGAATTGGGAGCAGAACTTTAAAGACAACTTGTCAATGGGTAAAACACAGCAAAGAACAAACCACCATGATAGAACTAATAACTTTATGGAATAAGAAGCTTTAAACTGACACAGCAACAGCAGAACTGCCTTTCATCTTTAGCTAAATGAATAGATTGAATCCCTTAAAATTTCTCTTTGTAACTTAGCCCTCAGGTGTGATCAACTGATCACACATCCTTTGCAGCACCACAGCAGCTGCCTCAGTGCAAGCTCTCAGTGCAAGGCAAAAAGCCCAAGCACAATCAGATTTAGTGTGCGGAAAAGAGGTTAAGCTCCCACTGCATCACCTTACATTTGGGCAGGCTACAATCACAGACACTGACAGTTACCATGTTTCAGAAGACAGTAACCTGATGTAGGACTAAGCCCTTGGCTTTTCTATACTGTAAATCATCCTCGTGCTTATTTTCCAATTCTTACAAATTCAATAAGAAAGTGCTAATTTTCAAAATAAACATAGTAAAACTGTTCCTTTAACTGGATTTAAAACAATTTTAAAAAAAAGCAGGTCTGTGCTGTCCCAGATCCAACACTATGGTAGTAACATTAAAAAAAAAAAAAAAAAAAGAGAGATTACTAGTCTCAAAACTTATTCCAATAAAAATAAAAATCCATCTGGACTTAACAACTGTATTTCCTCTTTTGGGAATAAAATTCAGACATCTTTATATTATTCTAAATAGCAAGGGGTTTAATTCATTTTAACTGCGTTAAATTCATCTGCCATCAATTAATTCTGAAGTATCTCTGTGGGGTTCTACTTTTAAAAAAACTGTTGAGATTTTTATCAACATGAAGTGTTGCTTTGTAGTTAGTGCCAAATTTAAATGTTGTTCATTTTCTTGCAACATATTTTGCATTCAAACACTGCGCATGAAATATTAGAACTTGTCTAAGAATGGCTGAAAAGAATTGCAAGCACCAAATTAATACCATTATTGCAGCCCACAAAAATAGTATAATGTTTCATTCCCTTAACTGAGAACATTATCTTCCTGTCATAAACAAAAAAAAATTACAAGCAGAGTAAGCATGTGAGCTCCCTTTTCCAATCCAGTCCTCCATGTGACTATTAGTTTCACAGTTTCAACATCAAATTCACTGCGAATAACCTGTACTACAGTCAATTCCCCCTCCGCCCCTACAAGTAATTTCACAAACCATGGATCTTTATTAAAACACTGTGTTTATTTCTGGCATTAACACTTCAAAAGGGAAGAAGCTACAAACTTGAAAAAGGCTAAGATAATCACATCACCTTTCTTCCACTCAGACAGCTATTCGCATTCAGCCAAATTCAGAGCTACAGGTTATTTTTGTCAGAAGTTGATGGAGAAAAGCATTTCTTTGAGGCAAGCCAGATTTATTTGCAAATACACCAAGTCCTGCTTCCACAAACATAAGAAAAGTTTCTTTGCTTCTAGCTTCAAATCTCTTCCAGTCATTGCTCAGTTCAAAATCCTCCTGGCTTTCTAGACGTTTTTTCCCCAAAGGGGCTGCTCAGTGTGTGCCCAGTGTCCCCCCTCCAAGCGCCTGAGTCTGCTCTATCTTTCAAAGGCAATATTCAAAGGCTCTATCTTTCAAAACTTAATAATACAGAATGTAAAACATACCCACTTACATGCGCCCTTGCCTTAGGTGCCAAGAAGTGTTTATATCTGAAGGAGCAGTCCCTAACTTTTCAGCTACCTACTTCCATAAAGCAGCTTAAATATTTTTTCTCCTGCCGCCTGAACAGAAGAGCAGCCTTTATGCCCAAATCATGAAATCTGACATCCAATAACTTGCCAATATGCACAGCTTAAGGCTGCACGCACCACAATGCCAGCCTTTTACATCTGTTTTCATGTCAGCTACAATCATTTTTTGAGCGGCTACAGCAGTTTAAAAAAGAAAAGGGAAAAAAAACCGCCCAAGATACAGCAAAATCCAAATGCAATTCGGGATCTGATCCAATTCATCATCAGAAGAAAAGACAGCAGAAACGCTCGCGTATTTAGAAGGCATTCAGTGCCAGGAATAACAATGGCCGAGACCTCACCAGCCAGACCGCAAAGTTGCCTTGGGTCATTTTGTGTCAATTTGGGGTCAAAGTTGCACTGGGACCTATACTCTGGGTCACTTTCCCCTCCCTCCCACCATCCAACTAGAGGATCAAAAATTGGACCAACACATCAATCTGCTCCATCATCCCCCCCAAAAACAGTGCTGCACAGGGCTACCTGAATGTGCTCTATGACATCCCTTTTGGAGTGTGGAGGAGTGCCATATGAGACCCCTCTTCCAGGAGGGCTCACTGCTATGGAACAAACAGAAGGATCCCATTTGGTTCAGGAACCAGGAGCTCCTAGACAGACTGTGCAGAGAGACTCAGTGCTGCTCTGGGAACAAATTTAAACTCTGTTCCAACAATGCTCCATACCGGGCGTAGATTTGAACTTGCCTTTGCAGGAACACAACTGGATTTGCACAGTTCTGCCCTGAAGTAAAAAAATTCTGCAAATCTGAGGTGGCTACATTTGTTGCTGCACTTACACCACAGTCCAGATAAGCCACACAGGTATGAGGATTGATTGTATTTATTTCAAGGCAAGGGATGCACTTCAAGTGTCGCTCACCCCTTACCTCTTTACACACACACACACACACCCCCCTTTCCACTCCAGTGTCCTCCATCTTAGGTCTCCTGCAAATCCTTCCTCCTGTTTGTCTTGTTAACTGTGAGCTTTCTCAGGGCCTGGATAACTCTGCACCACACTCTCCTGTCCCCAACACAGGCAAATTAAATTACTCATCTTGCTGCATATATTGTGCACCTTAGGTCTAGTCATTTCTGGACACCACATAACTATTTAACTGCTATTCCTTACAGGTTGCCATATCTACTACTCTAGTTTCTGAACAGAAAAATAAATGAAGATTTGGGTCTTCAAAAAGGAGCAATGATCCCGACTGACAAACTGCAGATTTGTAGGAGACGAACAAGGCCATGTTGGAAAACATCTTAAGTTTCATACTCCAAGAAAGAGATATGGACACCGTAGCATAAACATTTAATATCATGCATGGGTACTGCACTCAAGGGATGTGTGGAAACAGCTCTTAAAGCCCAATTGTGTCAAGTTCCTTAAATCATGTAAGACCAAATACATGGACCAACTTCCATTGCAAATACTGTCCTTGCTTTGATTTCATCATTGATGAAAATGCAATATACAAACAGAAAACAAGCAGTGGCAACACAGAATGAAAACAGCAAATATAATCCACATTTAATCAAGAACTGTATATAACCTGTATGTTTACCTAGTTGCCGTTTCAGAATTTCAGTTAAGACTTTTACAGTAAGTCCCTCTGAGAAGCCACTAACTTTTTTTGCTTTTTACAGATTCTCCCTGCAAGGATTTGTAGATATTTGTCTCATCCTATTGGAAACCAAAGAAGCTGAACCAATAACTTCTCTTATCCTTTCTCTCTCTTTTTTTTTTTTTTTAAAAACAAAACCAGATTTTAGCAATAAACCAACTTCCCCAGGAAAAAAAAAAAAAAGAAAGAAAAAAAAACAGTAAAAAAAATGATTGCGTGCTGCTTTGGAAGTGGTCCTGAGAAACCACAAACCATCAGTCCCACAGGAGTTATAAGAGTTTAATAATAAAGGCTTAACACAGCCTCGATACCACATACCATTACAGTAATATGCTCCACAGACCAAGCCAAACAGGGAATACAATAATACAGCGCAACATAAGGCTGTCATTTGGCACATCCTCATACAGAGACTCAGGCTCTGAGGTCTGCATTGCTTTCTTGTATGCATGATCACTGTTAAGCTTCTCACTCCATATTCCTGCTTTCCAGATACTCCAATGGATTCCTACAGAACTGCAA